GTACCATATGGTACCATTGCATCATATGGTACCATTACACCATATGGTACCATAAGGTACCATTGCACCATATGGTACCATTGTACCATATGGTACCATTGTATCATATGGTACCATTGTATCATATGGTACCATTGTATCATGTGCCATTGTGCCATATTGTACCATATGGTACCATTGTATCATATGGTGCCATTGTACCATATGGTACAATTTCACCCTATGGCACCATTGTACCATATGGTACCATTGTATTCAACACAATAACCACACTAATATTTTCATCATTTTGTTTACAATAAACTTGTAAACAAGTTTTGTAAGCAATATAATGATAAATTAGTGCAGTTATTGGGTTGAATACAATGAGTGTACACTAATACAATATACTGGTCTCACAGGCCACAAATGTTATTAGAAAAAGAAAAAAAATAGAAAAGAAAAGAAAAAAAGTATAAAAAACGTAAAATAAAAAAATGCGATTTTGCGGAAGTCACTGATGTTGCCGCCACCCGGTCATTTTGGGTCAACTTCCCACCGCTGTATCTCGGTAAGTACTGATCAGAATTTTTTTTTTTTGTCTTATTACCTTCACAAAAATATACTCTTTAATTCTGTAAGATTTTTTTTTTTTTTTTTTTTTTTTTTTTTTTTTTTTCAAAATTTCTTAGACACTGGAGCACCACTTCAGATTTTGGCCTTGGACCCTGAAGGGATCATTCTATAAACTTTACTGTTGAGTTTGAAGAAAATAACTCATTGCCTTTTCTAGATGTTTTAATTATTAAGGGTAATAATGAATTCAAATTTAAAATTTACAGAAAACTTACAAATAACTGTTCCTATGTCCACTATTATTCTTCGCATCAAGATAGAGTTAAACTGTCTGTTTTCTCATCAGTGTTTTTGAGAGCTTTACGAATTTGTAGTCCAGAGTTCATAGATGAGGAAATATCCAAAATTTATGAAATAGGTAATGATTTGAAATACCCAAGAAATGTAATTGATAAATCTTTTAAAGTTGCTAGAAATACTTTTTACAATCCAAAAAGGGACAACCAGCCTTATTCAACTAAAAATATGTTGGTTCTCCCTTACCATGAAAACTTGGTTGATATGCCTTCTCTTCTCAAGACTTTTAATATTAAAGTTGTATTCAAAAATCTTGATACAGTAAAAAAACTTTTGATAAAGAATTCCCCCCAAAATGCTGATGGACGTGTCTATAAGATTCCTTGTAAAATTTGCGATAAAGTTTATTACGGTCAAACTGGTAAAAATCTCGAGCTAAGATTAAAACAACATAAATATAGTATTAGAACTGGACAAGATTCCAATGCTCTATTTATTCATGTAAGAGATTTTTAACAATCCAATTGATTTTCAAAAAGTTGAGAAAGTAGTATCAAGCAAGTCCATGGTCCACAGGAATATAATTGAATCTTGTTTCATAGAAAGCAGTTTTGACAATACTATGAATATTTCCTTTGGTTTATATAAATTAGATCCATTTATAATTAATAGAATTTGGGAAGAATTTGATAATACACTGGACAAATAATAATTTTTAAAATTTCTTATTTCTTGGGTAGAATAGTTCGTTGGTGGGTTGTGTGAAGGACCTGTCTAGTTGGGCCGGCAGGCCTGCTGCAGTGTTCCCTTTCTTATGAGTCGTGCATCAGGTGTTTAACTGTTGTGGGATTTGATAGTGAGGTGTTGGCTAGACCCCTTATATACCTTCCTTTGATGCTTTACTTTCATATTTCCTTGATAATGTGAGTAGTCACAAAAGCGCTTGGAATTTCTCTATTCTTTCACAGTGGTTGTTTTGCATATTCTGAAATCACCTGTTTACTGTGATCTTATTGCATTGTACATGTATGTGTAGTGTAACCTAAATGTAAGTAGAAGTAGCAAGATGTACCTGAAATTTTGCATGTTCATGAGACAGAAAAAAAGACACCAGCAATCCTACCATCATGTAAAACAATCACAGGCTTTCGTTTTACACTCACTTGGCAGGACGGTAGTACCTCCCTGGGCGGTTGTTGTCTACCAACCTACTACCTACAAAACAGTATACTTACCAACACATTTTAGTGTGAGTGATAGTTTTGTAGATTTATCCTTATTCCTTTTTTTAAATGTTTTCATAAATATCTATTATTGTATTTTCATAACACCAGTACATATAAATTAAAATAAACATAAATATTGTACAGCTCATTGCCCAATATGATCCGACACTTCTTTAATATTGGTGGCATTTGTTAAAAGAAAGAAGTGTATCCATGAAGGAAAGAAAGGGAATATACCAGAGTATAGTGGTACCAACACTTATATGGGTGTGAAGCATGGGTTTATAACATTTGCAAATTGGTTATATTGTCACGGTTACTCTTTGGTGATGACACTGTTCTTTTGGGAGAGTGGGAAGTGAAATTATGAAAGTTTTTGGAGAGGTTCAGGAGAGTGTGTAAAAGAAAGAAGTTAAAAGTAAACAGAGAACAACAAGGTGATGAAGTTAGGAATCTAGGCAATGAAGGATTGGACATCAGATTGGTTTGTCCCACCACCCACTCTCCTTACTTTATACTTACGCTACTACTACTACTACTATTACTTCCACTACCAGCCTTACCACTACTACTTCCACTTCCTGCCTTACCACTACCACTACTACTATTCCCACCTCTCTAGTCCTGTCCCTGCCAGCTGGCCTATATATACTAGCTTCTTTGTTTTCTATTAGTGTGACTTTGTATATGGTCCCAGTCAGACCGAAACATCATTATAAGCTCCTCTCTCTTATGTGCAGGTTATTTGTGTATTGTTCCAGTCACGGTATTGTGCCTTTTTGTTCTTTATTAGACTTATTGCAGTTCTCCTTAGAAGCCATTTTGCAGGCACTTCCTTGTAATGTTGATGTTCCTGTCTTGTACAGTCTTGTAATAGCTGGAGTGACTGTGGCATATTTGGTCTGTTTAGATAAAATATAGCAACTAAAGTATTTCATATCTTTGCAACACTTCTAAATTTTAATTCCTATCCTTTTTAATTTTAAAAAGCTACTTATGGATGCTTACTATAAGATACATCAGACAGCTGTCTATAGTGTTCCACAGATGTGTAATATCCCACATCCAAAAAAATTATTGCAGTACAGTAAATATTAATGTAATGTGTTTACCAGAGCTATCTGACATTCACATTTTTAGTAAAAAATATTTAAATTACTATATAAAGTTTAACTTACAAGCGCATGTGGATCAACATTGACGGTGATGTGAGTCTTGAGCAGCTCAGGCTATGGCTTCTATCAGAAAATTCACTGTCCATTATATTTCTGCTTTCCCAGTGGAATATGCACAATGGAAATATACACAAATTATATGATAAATATTATGAAGTGGGGTTGCTATTCAGGTTTGGCATCATTATGTAGTGAATAGTAGTCTTGTATCCACTGAAAGTGGACCAAGAATACTATCACTACATAACAGTAGTATTCCTGTGTCCACTGAGGGTGGACCAAGAATACTGTTACTCCATAACAATAGTATTCATGTCCACTGAAGGTGAGCAAAGATGGCTATCATTACATAACAATAGGTCATATTGTCAGACACCACATTTTTATATCTTATAAGTGACAGGGGATACTTGAACCCATGCCTCTTGCATCTTAGCTGAACTTAAATATTAGATGTGGGAGTGGTGGTTTTGGGAATCTTGCAACTTATATTAGGGCTCGGCTAAGATGCTTTAGGAATGTGAATTTGAGTCTCATATGACAGATATAGCAACAAAAATAAGTAGATTATAAGCAGTACTTAACATGAGACACAGCCAGCATAGCTCTGCTCCTGTAGGTGTAAGTTGGTAGCCATTTCTAAACTCCACACCCCCAAGAGTCTGGCATCTGCACACTCCAGAGACTGGCATCATACACTTCAGAGACTGGCATCATACACCTCAGAGGCTGGCATCATACACCTCAGAGACTGGCAACATACACCACAGAGACTGGCATCATACACCTCAGAGACTGGCATCATACACTTCAGAGGCTGGCACCATGCACTTCAGAGGCTGGCATCATACACTTCAGAGGCTGGCATCATACACTTCAGAGGCTGGCATCATACACCTCAGAGACTGGCAACATACACCACAGAGACTGGCATCATACACCTCAGAGACTGGCATCATACACCACAGAGACTGGCATCATACACTTCAAAGGCTGGCATCATACACCTCAGAGGCTGGCATCATACACCTCAGAGACTGGCATCATACACCTCAGAGGTTGGCATCATACACTTCAGAGACTGGCATCATGCACCTCAGAGACTGGCATCATACACCTCAGAGGTTGGCATCATACACTTCAGAGGCTGGCATCATACACCTCCGAGACTGGCATCATACACCCCAGAGGCTGGCATCATATGCCACAGAGACTGGCATCATACACCTCAGAGACTGGCATCATACACCTCAGAGACTGGCATCATACACCTCAGAGGTTGGCATCATACACTTCACAAACTTGCATCATACACTTCAGAGGCTGGCATCATACACTTCAGAGACTGGCATCATATACCTCAGAGACTGGCATCATGTACTTCAGAGGCTGGCATAATACACCTCAGAGACTGGCATCATGCACTTCAGAGACTGGCATCATACACCTCAGAGGTTGGCATCATACACCTCAGAGATTGGCATCATACACTTCGGAGGCTGGCATTATAGACCTCAAATGCTGGCATCAGACATCTCAGAAGCTGGCATTTACATACAAGCATGGGCTCCACACATCATTACACACCCAGTAAAATACAGTATCTAACAGTCTACAGGATATTCTACTCTTTATACATTCATTGTATGAGCACAAGAAAGCATTACCTAGTATACTACAGAGCATGAGAGTAAGGTACATGTATTGTACTTGTATAGCAATTACTGAGTTGAATTATCCCTTACAGATGTGATAAATGTGTGTAAGAAGTGTTTACGTTGGCTAGTGTGCTGGTTATGTGAAAGAACCAGTGCCAAGTTCAGGGCACAGATTGCTGCTGGTGAGGATTCATTCACTGCTCGGAACAACACACAGGTTTACCTCGCACGAAACCTCTCACTGGCTTATGTTACCGTAAGATTTTTACTTTTGTTATGTATCATATACTGCGTAACACCATTTGTATTGCATACTTTCTTTGTCAGCTAACTTCACGAGAACGTAATTCCATACGTTATCCATCTTATTTCATACTTTTGCTGTCATTACTATGTATTGGGAAAAGATTCCTTCTCATTTCATAAGGATTTTTTTTTTAAATTCTTTGACACTGAGAGCAAGTTTGTGAGCAAGGGCCTTGACAGTGAAAGGGTTAAGTGTTGAGGACCTGATTGAGATTACTAAAGCTACCAAGGCTTAGTGGTTTGATCAACAATGCTACAGCTATTGTGACCAATAAGCCTATTGCAGTGCTCTATTCTTATGTTTTATGTAAAAATATGCAATGTTTCACCTGTATGGTACAATAGGCTTTTAGTGTGAGTATGAGCCACATTTTGATATAAGTACCATCCAACTTATGACCTGCTCAACATACGACCACTCATACTTACGACTGTACGTCTGGCAGCATATACAGTAGTAAAATATTTAATAAAAAGTAACATACAATACTATGTAGGTACTTTATATAGCAAAGGTTTGACATTGTGCCCTACCCAGTATGTCGGCAATATTCTAAGATTTGATTTGCATCCTTTTTGACTCATGACTGGTTGGTCGGATCCAAGCTCAGTCGTAAGTCGGATAGTACAGTGGAGCCCCGGTTAACGATTTTAATCCGTGCAAGAGGGCTCATCGTTATGCGAAATAATCGTTATGCGAATGAATTTTCCCCATAAGAAATAATGGAAATCAAATTAATCCGTGCAAGACGCCCAAAAGTATGAAAAAAAATTTTTTTTACCACATGAAATGTTAATTTTAATACACACAAACTGAAAAAGGCATGCACAATTAAATGACACTTACTTTTATTGAAGATCTGGTGATGATTGATGGGATGGGAGGAGGGGAGAGCATTATCTTCTTACTGTTTAGAAGGGGAATCCCCTTCCATTACGACTTGAGGTAGCAAGTCCTTTTCCGGGGTTACTTCCCTTCTTCTTTTAATGCCACTAGGACCAGCTTGAGAGTCACTGGACCTCTGTCGCACAACAAATCTGTCCATAGAGCTCTGTACCTCCCGTTCCTTTACGATTTGTCTAAAATGGGCCACAACATTGTCATTGAAATAGTCACCAGCACGGCTTGCAACAGCTGTGTCAGGGTGATTTTCATCTATAAAGGTTTGCAGTTCAACCCACTGTGCACACATTTCCTTAATCTTTGAAGTAGGCACAATGGATTCCACAACTGGCATAGGCTTCTCAGGGTTAGCCCCAAACCCTTCAAAATCTTTCTTAATTTCCATACTAATTCTCACCCTTTTTACCACAGGGTTGGCACTAGAAGCTTTCTTGGGGCCCATGGTCACTTATTTTCCAGAAACAGCACCGAAAACACTGTAATAATACGAAATATTCCGAGTGTATGCTTGGATGTTACCGCGGAGGCTGGCTGGTAAACAATGGGACGGCCGGCACATGTGAGGCTGGCTGAGGGCACATTGGACGCGTCTCGGACGAAAATCGGTATGCGCGGCAAAAATTTTGCGATAAAAGTAATCGGTATGCGGAAAAATCGCTATGTGATGCCATCGTTATGCGGGGGTCCACTGTACTTGTATGTATCATCTCTTGGTAGTAACTCCCTAGAATGAATTAAATATTCACCCTTATAGTTAAGTGAGTCATATAACTGTTGGGCATTAGCACCTATCAGTGCATGGGACATTCGTACATTCATGTGGACATCGTATCGTCCACTGTACTTGTATTATCTTCCTTGTATAACTCCCTAGAATGAATTAAATTCCCTTATAGATTAAGTAGTCATATAACTGTGGGCATTAACACTATCAGTGCAAGAGGAGGATTCAGTACATCTCAGAGTGGACATGCAAACAATTAATTTTGTATCTTCTTTTCACTTTCCATCATCCTGAGTGAACCTACATGGCCTCAAATATGGGCATTGCATTAGAAGTCAATAGAATTTGATGGGAGAGCATAACATAATAGTTGAGTTGAAGAAATGGTGAGGTGTAGCAGTGAAGTGACAGCAGTATGAAGAAAAATTAATATTAGTTGGCTACAAAGATTATTTTATGCACTGATTGGAATCAAATCGCCTCAATAAAAACTTCCTTGTGTTTAAAACAAGTGGTGTTGGAGTTGTGAAAGAGCAGTTACTAACCTTTCCTTTCATCTTGAATTATGGACCCTCTTTTTATATTGTATAGTCTCAGTCCATCTCGGTGGTCTAACAATTATGATGTGCAGAAGAAGTTATTATTATTATTATTTTAGTCATAACTAAGTACTAAACCCACAAGAGTCATACAGCACTGCACTGATGTGCAATACAAGTGTTATTTGTCTAATTAATTATATTTGGGGCTGCATTGTGTCTTTGGTACTGTTTCAGCAAGTGATACTTGCATGGTTTGAGGAATCAATCCATGAAGCAGAAGTGGAGCTACAGCCTGTCCTCTACCGCCTCTGTGCATTATTTGGCCTTGTACATGTTGAAGGACACATTCCACAACTTGTTGAAGGTATTGTGTATCATCTTTTATAGTCGCATCTACCTACTTTCTCAGGTTTTATATTTACACTAATTTACAGGTTAAGATAAAGTAAAATTAAATTTTATTCAGATTTTTAACCCTATAGGGTTAGCCACCCAGGATAACCCAAGAAAGGCAGTGCATCATCGAGGAACTGCCTGTCTTATTTCCATTGGGGTCCTCAATCTTGACCCCCAGGATGTGACCCATACCAGTCGACTAACACCCAGGTACAGGTCGGTCATCACTAATCTGGCAGTCAGTTATCCGGTTCCATCAGTAAACGGCACTATTTTCGGCTAACAATTTCAGATTCCATCATTATACTGACTCAAATTTCATCATTATACTGACTTGGAAATTGTGCATATGGTTGTAAATCCACAGCAGCAAGCCAGTGGAGGAGAAAGCAGTGATGAATATGAGGAAGATGTAGCAGAAAGAGTCTCTGTTGATAGGTTAATTAAGTGTATTCTAACCTAACCACTCTGTAATCCGGCAAACTCACTAATCCAGCACATTACATGTAGGTCCAACTGATCCCAGATTAGTGATGGCCAACCTGTACTTACTTGCTAGGTGAACAGGACAGCAGGTGTAATTAACCATTTGAGGGTCCAGGCCCCCAATCTGAAAATTCCTCACAGGGTCCAAGAATTCCCCCCCCCCCCCCAAAAAAAAAAAAAAAATTATTGTTTTTTCTTATGAAATGTAGAGAGTCTTTTTCTGAAGGTAATAAAACAAAAAGTACAAAATATCATCAAAAATCGACAAAATTACACTCTCGTGAATTTTGCACCAGTGATTTTGCCCACTTTGAGTCCTATTTTTGGCCAATTACATTGCTCCTTTAGATCAAATTCTTAGCTATTTCACAAGTATGTGTTCCATTGTATCTATTAAGCACAAGAAATCTTGCCCAATCAACTATTTCAGCTACCCAATAAAGTGATCAGAAATTGGTAATTTGGCCATTTTCACACACAGTTTGAAATATTCCAATTTCAAAATAGGGTCCAGAATAAACAATGCAGGCATTCCTGACACTAAAATAATATTTCCTTTGTTTATTAGTTATGTTTCCAGGCTTTACAGATGAATTCCATTTTAATTTTTTCACATAAAGAATTTTTATTCACACCAAAAAATATAAGATTTACTGTTATGCAATATTGTAATAATTGTATAAATAATATCATTGCAGTCATGAATGCACATTAGACCCACCAGGTGACATGTATTGGACACGTGATGTAATTTGTTTACTCTTGAACATCAGCAAAAATCGAACATTTCCACTACTTTGAGCTCAATTTCAAGCTATTTTGAGTACTAAAACCAGTCAAAATCTCTGTTTCAGTAATATATCTTCCATTCTATCAAATGAGATCAAGAAACTGTGAATACAACCATAAAAATCATACAAAAATACACTGCGAAGTCTGTTTTAACCCAATAACATGATTGCAGTTTTATTTCTCATGGACTGCGTGCTGCAGGATTAGTTTTATATGGTGCGCGTTTACCACAGAGATGCATTCTCTCATATCTAGGCCCAAATTTACTGCATATATATATATACATACATCTAGGTTTTTCTCCTTTTTCTAAATAGCTCTTGTTCTTTTTTATTTCTTCTATTGTCCATGGGGAAGTGGAAAAGAATCTTTCCTCCGTAAGCCATGCGTGTCGTATGAGGCGACTAAAATGCCGGGAGCAATGGGCTAGTAACCCCTTCTCCTGTATACAATTACTAAAAAAGAGAAGAAGAAAAACTTTATAAAACTGGGTTGCTTAAATGTGCGTGGATGTAGTGCGGATGACAAGAAGCAGATGATTGCTGATGTTATGAATGAAAAGAAGTTGGATGTCCTGGCCCTAAGCGAAACAAAGCTGAAGGGGGGAGGAGAGTTTCAGTGGGGGGGAAAAAAATGGGATTAAATCTGGAGTATCTGAGAGAGTTAGAGCAAAGGAAGGGGTAGCAGTAATGTTAAATGATCAGTTATGGAAGGAGAAAAAGAGAATATGAATGTGTAAATTCAAGAATTATGTGGATTAAAGTAAAGGTTGGATGCGAGAAGTGGGTCATAATAAGCGTGTATGCACCTGGAGAAGAGAGGAATGCAGAGGAGAGAGAGAGATTTTGGGAGATTTTAAGTGAATGTATAGGAGCCTTTGAACCAAGTGAGAGAGTAATTGTGGTAGGGGACTTGAATGCTAAAGTAGGAGAAACTTTTAGAGAGGGTGTGGTAGGTAGGTTTGGGGTGCCAGGTGTAAATGAAATGGGAGCCCTTTGATTGAACTTTGTATAGAAAGGGTTTAGTTATAGGTAATACATATTTTAAGAAAAAGAGGATAAATAAGTTATACACGATATGATGTAGGGCGAAATGACAGTAGTTTGTTGGATTATGTATTGGTAGATAAAAGACTGTTGAGTAGACTTCAGATGTACATGTTTATAGAGGGCCACAGATATATCAATCACTTTCTAGTTGTAGCTACACTGAGAGTAAAAGGTAGATGGGATACAAGGAAATAGAAGCATCAGGGAAGAGAGAGGTGAAGGTTTATAAACTAAAAGAGGAGGCAGTTAGGTAAGATATAAACAGCTATTGGAGGATAGATGGGCTAATGAGAGCATAGGCAATGGGTCGAAGAGGTATGGGGTAGGTTTAAAAAATGTAGTGTTAGAGTGTTCAGCAGAAGTTTGTGGTTACAGGAAAGTGGGTGCAGGAGGGAAGAGGAGCGATTGGTGGAATGATGATGTAAAGAGAGTAGTAAGGAGAAAAAGTTAGCATATGAGAAGTTTTTACAAAGTAGAAGTGATGCAAGGAGGGAAGAGTATATGGAGAAAAAGAGAGAAGTTTAAGAGAGTGGTGAAGCAATGTAAAAAGAGAGCAAATGAGAGAGTGGGTGAGATGTTATCAACAAATTTTGTTGAAAATAAGAAAAAGTTTTGGAGTGAGATTAACAAGTTAAGAAAGCCTAGAGAACAAATGGATTTGTCAGTTAAAAATAGGAGAGAGAGTTATTAAATGGAGAGTTAGAGGTATTGGGAAGATGGAAGGAATATTTTGAGAAATTGTTAAATGTTGATGAAGATAGGGAAGCTGTGATTTCGTGTATAGGGCAAGGAGGAATAACATCTTGTAGGAGTGAGGAAGAGCCCAATTGTGAGTGTGGGGAAGTTCGTGAGGCAGTAGGTAAAATGAAAGGGGGTAAGGCAGCCGGATTGATGGGATAAAGATAGAAATGTTAAAAGCAGGTGGGATATAGTTTTGGAGTGGTTGGTGCAATTATTTAATAAATGTATGGAAGAGGTAAGGTACCTAGGGATTGGCAGAGAGCATGCATAGTTCCTTTGTATAAAGGCAAAGGGGATAAAAGAGAGTGCAAAAATTATAGGGGATAAGTCTGTTGAGTGTACCTGGTAAAGTGTATGTAGAGTTATAATTGAAAGAATTAAGAGTAAGACGGAGAATAGGATAGCAGATGAACAAGGAGGCTTTAGGAAAGGTAGGGGGTGTGTGGACCAGGTGTTTACAGTGAAACATATAAGTGAACAGTATTTAGATAAGGCTAAAGAGGTCTTGTTGTGGCATTTATGGATTTGGAAAAGGCGTATGACAGGGTGGATAGGGGGGCAATGTGGCAGATGTTGCAAGTGTATGGTGTAGGAGGTAGGTTACTGAAAGCAGTGAAGAGTTTTTTAACGAGGATAGTGAGGCTCAAGTTAGAGTATGTAGGAAAGAGGGAAATTTTTTCCCAGTAAAAGTAGGCCTTAGACAAGGATGTGTGATGTCACCGTGGTTGTTTAATATATTTATAGATGGGGTTGTAAGAGAAGTAAATGCGAGGGTCTTGGCAAGAGGAGTGGAGTTAAAAGATAAAGAATCACACACAAAGTGGGAGTTGTCACAGCTGCTCTTTGCTGATGACACTGTGCTCTTGGGAGATTCTGAAGAGAAGTTGCAGAGATTGGTGGATGAATTTGGTAGGGTGTGCAAAAGAAGAAAATTAAAGGTGAATACAGGAAAGAGTAAGGTTATGAGGATAACAAAAAAGATTAGGTGATGAAAGATTGAATATCAGATTGGAGGGAGAGAGTATGGAGGAGGTGAACGTATTCAGATATTTGGGAGTGGACGTGTCAGCGGATGGGTCTATGAAAGATGAGGTGAATCATAGAATTGATGAGGGAAAAAGAGTGAGTGGTGCACTTAGGAGTCTGTGGAGACAAAGAACTTTGTCCTTGGAGGCAAAGGGGGGAATGTATGAGAGTATAGTTTTACCAACGCTCTTATAGGGGTGTGAAGCGTGGGTGATGAATGTTGCAGCGAGGAGAAGGCTGGAGGCAGTGGAGATGTCATGTCTGAGGGCAATGTGTGGTGTGAATATAATGCAGAGAATTCGTAGTTTGGAAGTTAGGAGGAGGTGCGGGATTACCAAAACTGTTGTCCAGAGGGCTGAGGAGGGTTGTTGAGGTGGTTCGGACATGTAGAGAGAATGGAGCGAAACAGAATGACTTCAAGAGTGTATCAGTCTGTAGTGGAAGGAAGGCGGGGTAGGGGTCGGCCTAGGAAGGGTTGGAGGAGGGGGTAAAGGAGGTTTTGTGTGCGAGGGGCTTGGACTTCCAGCAGGCATGCGTGAGCGTGTTTGATAGGAGTGAATGGAGACAAATGGTTTTTAATAACTTGACGTGCTGTTGGAGTGTGAGCAAAGTAACATTTATGAAGGGATTCAGGGAAACCGGCAGGCCGGACTTGAGTCCTGGAGATGGGAAGTACAGTGCCTGCACTCTGAAGGAGGGGTGTTAATGTTGCAGTTTAAAAACTGTAGTGTAAAGCACCCTTCTGGCAAGACAGTGATGGAGTGAATGATGGTGAAAGTTTTTCTTTTTCGGGCCACCCTGCCTTGGTGGGAATCGGCCAGTGTGATAATAATAAAATAAAAAATAACTGCTAAATAAGCTACCATGGCTCCAA